GGAAGGAAGTATACCAAAAACCGAAGCACTGTTGCTGCATTTGATGTAAACAAAAGAGTAGGTTGGTTCTGGTTGTTGATAGCATGTCAACTTAACCTCATCAAACAAATTGTTCACAAAACTTATGTACACCACAAATATCAAAAGCAATCTGGTGGTAATGTCTTTACCAAATATTACAACAAAAATTGTCAAAAAAAGAGAATTGACATCGTCACATCAATATCAATGTAATCAAGCTAGTAGTTTTTTCTTTTCAATTGTTGACGGATGGACTGACTGAAAATGACCTAAATATATATATAAACATGATCTTACCTGATGGCCACAACCCTTACAAAGGATAGGCCGGTATGCTTCTTCTATTAACCAATTTTTTGAGCTATGCAAAAAACTATTGGTAACAGTTTTTTTACCAGCTGTCAATAATCTGGTGATCTGTAACAACAAACAAGGCATCATTTCCAACATTAAAATAATCACAGTATTTAGAACAAAAACACACAAATTCCTTTAGTTATTACCGTATTACCCCGGGCACGCGCCCCTCCCTGGGCAAGCGCCCACCCCCCTGTTTTCACAAAAGTTACATGTTGGGGACATCCTCGGTTAAACGCCCAGGGTGATTTTTAGCCAAGAATTAGGTCAACAATAAAGTTGTATTTGTCAAAAACGAACGCGTTTGATTTATTTAAATAGTGTGTTTGTTATGGTAGTTCTCTTTTTGGAGTGTGTGGTGGCCCTGAAAAGAGCCGTTTTGTTTGTGTTTTTACGTAAAAACTCATTGGAAGAGCATCGCCAGGCGATGGACGCGGGACTCTTTGGCAACGACCAAAAACGTATCCGTGTCCAGCCATTGGTTGGCCACGTAGAGGTCAAAATACGCGTTCTATTTTTACACTTTAAGTTTGGCTCTTCCGTTTCACCCCCTCCGGAATGTTCTACTTTCGCAGCCTAATCGCAGGTTTTTCGAAAAATGTCGAAAAAACACAAGAATTAGTGGAAATGTTTCTATTTGGGGCGGATTATTGATAGAAGATAATGTTTTTATTACAAAAATGCCGAAAAACCGCGAGTTTTT